CAGGACTGTACCTTTTTACTTGTCAACCTTGGGGCTTCTCAGCCTCAGCAGCCAGCTGCTGTCTGAGTGAAGGAATACCTTTAGCTCCATTGGGCCGGGAGCAGGAGGCAGAGCTGGACCCCAAGGTTGAGGGGCTTTCACCCAGCCCCTAGAGCCTGGCACTTTGAACTTGGACTTAAAGTCTCCAAATTGTAAGAATAAACTCCTGTTTGTTAAGGCCATCCCATTTGTGGTATATTTCTTGTCAGAGCGGCACTAGGTAACCAGAACACATCCGTAAACACAAAACTTAATGTCATTTTAATTTAATAAAAAAACATACATATTGACTTAAAGGCAGATGATTTTTAGAACTTCACCAAAAATTTTCTTCACCAGAAATATCACTTCCTCAAACATTTTCCAAGAGTTCTGTGAGATTTTGTTTAAGATCTCATGTCTCCATAGACTTCAGTTTCTGCCTCTAGGTAGTAACAGAGTTGACTCCTTCATGACAGCTTTTCCTACTCTGCCCAAACAAAATGAAATTGCTTTTTTTTAATTAAAAAAAAAAAAAGTTTAAAACCAAGAGCTGAGTTTGAGATGACCCTCCAGAGGAATTCAGAGGGATTCATGTGCAAAATTTCCTGTGAATATGACAAATGGTTTTCAGGAAAATAACGCACACATCAAGGGGAACTGACCAAAGCTCACACGTTTAACCTCACGTGAATCCACAGACCAGTCACTTGGCCCCGCCTTCTGAAATTATCTGGCCTACGCCATCTGTTTACAGAAAGCCTGATTTTAGTCACTTTGGCAAGGTGTCAATACGGACAATTTCTTTGGAAGACAACTTGGTGATAGCTGGGACTCAGTGGTTTTATTTCTGTGGATTTAATTTCAAATCTTGCTTTATTCATAGAAATGAGAACAAAACCTTAGAAATGATCTAAATGCTCATTGATAGATATTATGGTAATGTACATGGGGACAGCTTAAACAGCAGGTGAAAAGAATCAACAGATCTCAAAGAGGTATTGTTAAACAAAAGAGAGCAAACTTCATTACCTTTTCCACTTTTAAACAAAATCTAGCTAATAAAGCAAGTTACTTAAAAAAAGAAGAAACTTTACAAATCAAAGATGTGAGATCAAATTGCAAAAAAAGAAACAGAGCAATGTTTTTCAGTTTGAAACAAACTAGTATATTTAAGATTCTACTCTCAAAATTGCTCAAAATGGTAACACATCAGTATGATCTGGTCTAGGGTAGCTTTTTGGTTTACTAAGAGTTCATGGTTGCCTTTCTTTTTCCTTGTCAACCGGCATTGCATCTGTACGTACATATATGCAATACTTTCAATATATCATGAAGAATAGTGTGTAAATTAATGAGACTCATGTATTAATAATGTACTAGTGTCATAACATTAGGAGCTCTGGTAGCATAGTGCCTAAGGCACTTGACTGCTACCAGAAGGGTGGTGGTTCAAACTTACCAACCACTCCTCAGAAGGAAGGTTGGGCAATCTACTTCTGTAGTGATACCGCCTCAGAAACCCAAGGAGGGGTCACTATGGATGGCTTAAAACAACGGAAATTTATTGATTCACAGTTACGGAGGCCAGAAGTCTGAAATCATGATATTGGTATGTTGGTTTCTCTTGGAGTCTCTGAGGGAGAATCTGACCGTCAGCAATCCTTGGCATTCCTTGGCCTGTAGACTCCTACAATACCTGCCTCTGTCTTCACATGGTCATCCTTTCTCTGTCCGTCTCTCTGTCTCTTCTCCCTTTATAAGGACACCAATCATACTGGATTAAGAACCCTGGTGGTACAGATGGTTAGATGCTCGGATGCTCACCAAACGATTGACAGTTCTTACCCCCCAATCCCAGTAGCTCCAGGAAAGAAACCTAACAGTTTGCTTCCATAAAGATTACAGCCAAGATGACTCTATGGGGCAGTTCTTCTCCGTCACATGAGCTTGCTGTAAACGGAAATCTCTGGGGTACCTAACTACAACAACAGCCTAGATTAGAACCCACCCTGCTCCAGTACCACCTCATGTTAATCTAATGGATAACACTTTTTTTTTTTCCCCCAAACAGGTAACATTTTAAAAGATTCTCTTTCCAAACAAGCTAATGTTCACAGGTACCAGGGGTTAGCACCTCAACATATCTTTCTGGGGACACAATTCAACCCATAACAGATACCTAGGATCTTAAGTAGACGTCAAGACCATCACATGTCCCAGCGTGTGCCCAGGCACTGCCCCTTCCTAAGTCCTCTGGTACACTCTTGTCACCCAGGCTCTCTCTACCCCCCTCAGTTCCTCCTTACTCTGGGGCTCCCAGGCCCAGCCTGTCCCATCTTCAAAAAAACCAAAACACCATTTATTTATTTATTTAGCATGTATCAGAATTTTATTTCTCTTTAAGTCTGTATAATATTCCATTGTATGAATATACCACATTTTACTTATCCATCATCTGTTTTTTTTTTTTTTTTTTTATTGTGATTTTGGGGGAAGACTGACAGAGCAAATTCACTTTCCATACAGCAGTTCACATACACTTTGTCTCATGACATTGACCACAGTTTACCATAATGCAACATCTCGCCTCCCACCTCCTCCCCACAGTTACCTCTTCCCAGTGTCCATCCCTCCATGAACTCCTGCCCCCGAGCTGTCTCCCTGCATAAACAGCCCTTCTTTCTCCCATGATTGTTCTCTCCAAGGAGTGTATCTACCTCAGGTAAATGTTCCACTCCTATGCCTGTCTTCTGTTTGGCTGGAAACCACAGGTGTGGGTTCAATTCCAGCCCGAAGGGCAGCTAGGGGCCATAGTCTCAGTGATTCCACCAGGCTCTATCAGACCAGCAAACCTGGTCCCCTCCCCCCGCTTCAAAACACCATTTATTAAGGCTGAGTTGGTGCTGAGCACTGTTCAGTGCTTCACAACCAGCTACATTGAAGGGTTCCATTTTAGACAGAAGAGCACTGAGACTCAGAGAGGGGAGATCTCTTATCCAAGGTCATACAGCTGGTAGCTGGCATCGCCAGAACTGAACTCCAGTGCGTAAATTGTAACAGGCTATGCCTGTTATACTTTGCCTCCTCTCACTCTACTCTGGGGGCTTTGGGCGGGCCTGGCCAACCTAGATAAACAGCGGGTTGGGCACCGGCTGCAGCCCAGACCCTCTCCACTCCACCCCCTTGAGCCTCTGAGGGTCTGGAATCAGGAATCAGGAATCACCAGGGTAGCTACAGAGGCCAAAGGTCTCAGAGTGATTTCCTGCCTCCTCCTGGGAACTTCCTCCTTCTTGGTTCAATTCCTCCTTACCCCTCACTCCCTCCCCACCCCCGCCCCCTGCTTTGTGGAGCACCACCCTGCAGGACCCATCCTGTCAACTAGGCCCCCACTACATCATCCTGGGTAATAAGGGATGGGTCCCCACGCCCTGGCTTTCACCCTACTGTGTCTCTCAAAGTGGATAGTAATTGTATTAGCAACGTCACCCAAGGTCTAGCCTCCTCCCCTATTCCCTACCATCTCCCCCAGCCCAGCCCTGGGGGAGTGTCTGTCTCAGGCTCTGTCTCCCCAAGACTGGGGGTCCCTCAGAGCCAAGCCTGGGACTCATGCCTCTTACAGAGCCAAGCCATGGAATCACCCAGCACAGAGCAGAAAGCCCCAGGGAGGTTCTGGGCTAGGGGATAGGAGACACACCCAGAATCCTTTGCTCCTCCATCCTGAAATCCCTTCCACATCAGCTTAGGCATGCCCCAGAGTGTCACCAGAAGGGTCCCGGTGGTTCAAGGGTCAGGAGGCAGGAAGCTGGGCCCCAAACATGCTGCTGAATAATGACAGCAAATAATAACATCAGCCAATCTGTTCTCTTGAGCCTCACCACAGCCCTGTACCTTACAGAGGGGAAACTGAGGCACAGAGAGAGGAAGCTTGCCCCAACTCACATGAGCTGAGCTCCAAATCCAGTGCTGCTTCTGCTCTCCTGAAGCACTTAGCCAATGTGAACAGAACATTGGCTGAATCACAGAGGAACCTAGTACTGCTGCCATCTGTGGACCAGCTCTCTACAAGGAGCTCTCGGGTGCAATTATTGAGCACCTCCTGTGTACTCAGCTCTGGGCTCAGCCCCAAATCTGCAAGCAAACCCAGTGCCAACAAGTCATTTCTGACTTATAGTGACCCTATACGACCGAGTAGAACTGCCTCATAGGGTTTCCAAGGCTGTAAGCCTTTATGCAAACAGACTGCCTCATTTTTCCCCCATGGGGTGACTGGTGGATTCCAACCACCAATCTTTTGGTTAGCAGCCCAATGCTCTAACCACTGAGACACCCTAGCTCCTCTGGGCTAAGCCCTTCCAAAGTTTTACCTCGTTCAACCAGACTGTGAAGTGGGTACACATTCAACCAGCCTGCAGGGGCTAAACTCAGGTCTCCGAACCCCAGGGCAAATCCTTCTTCATCCATGTGCCTCAGTTTCCTTCTTTGCATAATGGAGGAGCAACAGACCTGGCTGAGGACCGCGTGTGGGTCAGCACAGAACCGGGGTGTCCAATGGCTGACTTTTCAGATGCAGACTGCTAAGACTGTCTTCTGAGGTGGCTCTGCATGGACTCGAACCTCCAACCTTTGGGTTAGCAGCTGAGTGTCTGAACTGTTTGCAGCACCAGGGACTCCAACAGGCCTGCAGCAGTTCAATGAGATTATACACATCTGGTGCTGAGAACAGCGTCACAGAGCAAGGGCAGGTGGGGAAACTGAGGCTCAGGGAGGCACATCACCCTGCCCAGCTGTGCCTGGCTCCCCTCAACAGCCCGAGTGGGAGTGTTGTGATAACCCGCGGCCCCCGTTTCCTCCTGGCCAGGAAGGAGCCAGGCAGAGGAAGTATTAAAAGGGGTAATATAAACACTCCCCCTGCAGCGGTGTCCAGGAGGGGCCGCCGTCGCCGCCGCACCCAGAGCAGACCAGGCAGCCGAGCGGTGCACATGGGTCTGGTCATGGAGCGCGGGGGGCCATACTCGCGGGGGCTGCACAAAGCGGGGGGCAGTGAGCGGGGTTGCTGGTACTACCTGCGTTACTTTTTCCTCTTCGTCTCGCTCATCCAGTTTCTCATTATCCTGGGCCTCGTGCTCTTCATGGTGTACGGCAACGTGCATGGCGGCACCGAGTCCAACTTGCAGGCCACCGAACGCCGGGCCGACGGCCTCTACGGCCAGGTCGTGGGGCTCACGGCCACCCACGCCAACCTGACAAAGGAGCTCAACCTCACCACCCGCGCCAAGGATGCCATTATGCAGATGCTGCTGAGCGCCCGCCGAGACCTGGACCGCATCAACGCCAGCTTCCGCCAGTGCCAGGCCGACCGGGTAAGGACTCGGGACCTCGGCCACCCTGGCGGCCTCACATCGCCGCTCTGAGCCTCTGTGAGATGACCACTCACGTAGACCCGGTATTTCACCCGAGCAGCCTTCGTCCACAAATGATGAAGAATTTTTTTGGGGGGGAGGCGGTAAGACTTATGTCATTCAGTATATTTACTTTTTTTCAATTGTGTTTGGGTGAGAGTTTACAGAGCAAATTCGTTTTCCATTCAATAGTTTTTACACATTTTATTTTGTAGCATTAGTTGCCATTTCAAGACATTTTGGGAGATAAACATACCTGTCCTGTGCAATTTAGGGACTGTTGTGATGGCGTAGTGCCTAAGGCATTTGACTGCTAACCAAAAGGTCGGTGGTTCAAACCCACCAGCCACTCCCTGGGAGGAAGACTGGGCAATCTACTTCCATAGAGATAACGCCTTGGAAAGCCAAAGGGGGTCACTGAGTCAGGACCGACTGGATGGCAATGAGTTTGGTGGTTTTTTTTTTTTTTCTTTACCTTTCCTAAAATAATGATACATTGTTTATCTAAATCCATGTTTACCTGGGTGTCCTGTATGTGAACTGGCAGCCCAGGCCCATGACGAAATGTAATAGGGACAAAGAGCCGTGAAGGAGCCCTTACACACTACATGCGAGTTGCTGTAGTTGCTACTTGCCATGGAGTTGGCTCCGACTCATGGCCACCCTTGTGTGTGGAATAGAATTGCTTCACAGGGTTTTCAATAGCTTTTGGAAGCAGATCTCCAGACCGGCCTTCGGTTAAATGGAAGCTCACAGCATTTGGCTCTCAGTCTAATGACTGTAACCGGCGTGTTGCCGTGGAGTTGATTCTGGCTCCTGGAGCCCCCATGTGTGCAGAGTAGAATCGTGCTCAGAGGGTTGTCAGTGCCTGATTTTTTGGACGTAGACCACCACGCCTTTCTTCCAAGATATCTCTTGGTGGACTTGAACTGCCAATCTTCTGGTTAGCACCATTAGTACCACCCAGGGAATCTATGCATTGTTGTTGTTGTGTGCTGTTGATTCTGACTTATAGTGACCCTGTAGTACAGAGTAAAACTGCCCTATAGACTTTCCTAGGCTGTAATTGCACTCTGGTGGGGCCGTGGTTAGAGCATTGGACTGCTAACCAAAAGGCTGGTGGTTCAAACCCACTAGCCACCAGCTGCTCTGTGAGGGGAGGGAGATGAGACAGTCTGCTTCCGTAAAGATTTACAGCCTTGGAAACCTATGGAGCTGTTCTATTTTGTCCTATGGAGTCGGAATCTATTTGATGGAGGGGGTTAGTTTTTACGAAAGCAGATCATTAGGTCTTTTCTCTCTTGGAGATGCTGGTAGATTCCAACTGCCCACCTTTCAGTTAAGAGCTGAGTGTTAACCCCTGTGCTCCCAGCACTCCTCGTCATGTCTGTAAATGGCTCACATTTGCCTTGTGATGATATCTGCTTTATAAATATTACCACGTCGTTGAATCCTGGGAGATGGGGAGAATTTTTAAACCCATTCACAGACCAGGAAATGGAGGCCCGAGGTGAGGGGATTTCCTGAGGGGCGCAGAAAAGAGAGGCCTAGGGAACAGCAGAAGCCACACACTTGAGGGTCCTGAAGAGACCCCACCAACCTCTCGAGTCCCCAGTTTGTGTCAAACGTACTTGAACTCGCCCATGTTCTCTCACACATGTCTCCTATGGCAAGGGTCCGCTCACCCAGAGATGGTGAGAGGAGGGGGCACTGGGAGACCCCACTCAGGCTGAGGCTGGAACAGGGGTAGGGGAGGCAGGGGTGAGAGCAAGCTGGGCGGGGGGGGAAGTGGTAGATTCTCCCACAGGAGGAAACGTCGACGCTGGGGCCTCAGACCACCCAGCCCTCCCCACTGGGCAGGAAGGATATGGGGAGGGGGCATCAGAGCCTTCAGACACTCGGGGCAGGACTCTGTCTCCCTCTCAGGCCCCCAGGGCAGCGTCCTGTTTCCCCTGTTAGACCCCTAAGATGGGGCCCATCTCCCCACTCAAACTCTCAAGACAAGTTCATGCCTTCCCGCACACACACCCCAGGGCCCAGGGACGAACCTGTCTCCCCACTCAAACACGTAGGGTGTGGCCCTCTCAAACCCCTAGAGCAGGGCTCAGTCTCCCCCCTCAGAATCCTCCAGGGCAGGGCCCTTTCTCCCCCCTTAGGCCCCCGGGGTGGGCCCCTGTCTCTCCTCTCAGACCCTCAGAGTGGGGTCCCATCTCCTCCCTCAGACCCCCAGAGTGGGGCTGTGTCTCCCCCTTCAGACTGTCACCGACCTGTTTCCAACTCCCAGAACAGCTGGCGGTCCAGCCCAAGAACCACTGAAAATCCCAGAATCACAAAACCTTAGGCTTACACACTCATCCAGATGCCCTGAGCCTCCCTCAACCCCTTTCATGAAATATTTAAAAAGCTAAGAATCTTAGAGGTTTAAAACTTTTGAGAATCACAGCCTCTTTTTGCCCTTCAAGTTGACAAATCCCTTACCTGGAACCCCTTCGCTTTCCTCCAACAACCCTGGGGCCTTTTCTCCAACCATCCTGTGCCACCCCGCAGCCTGGTTTCCCCCCTTCCGAGCCACAGCTGCCACACTTGTCTCTGATCTTAAACACTCAGGGTCTATGGAGTCGGTCCAGCCCATGGTGACCCTGTGTGTGTCTCAGAGCAGAACTTGCTCCAGGCAGTTCTCAGTGACTGAGTTTGCTAAAGTCAATGCCAAGTCTCTCTTCCAAGGCACTCTAGGTGAACTCGAACCCCCAACCTTCCAGTTAGCAGCTGAGCGTTTTCACTGTGTGTTCCACCCAGAGACTCTGATCATAGTGGGTCTGAGTCTTGGTCTCTCCTCAGTCCTGGTTGTGCTAGAAACAAGATTTTTGTACAAATGCAACTGAATTTTTGGCCCTGAGCCCCTGCAGGGGGCAGGGGCGTTCAACTCCGTGATTTTCAGGGTCTGCACTCCCCAGTCTGCACCAGCTCTGCAAGACCCCAGCCCGTGGACCAGGCGGTGTCTCTCGTAGCTGTGGAGGAGGAGCAGGTCCCCAGTTTCTCTTGTCACTTGCTCTGGCCCGATGGAAACCTCTAGTTCACTTCATGTTTGGGGCCAGCTCACACTATCCTTACCCACAGATCTTCCCTCTGTGGCTAAGACTTTTGAAAACAAAAGCCAGGAATTTCACCTATTTCTGTCTTCTGCTCTGGAGGGTAGCACTGGAGGGCCAACTCAGAAAGGACGAAGGACAGGTGTTTCAGAAAGACAAACCCTCCTCGCTTGCACCTTGACTTGTTATGTGTCTGCGGAGGGTTCTGTTGGGAAGTTCTAAAGTTGTGGCCTGAGTTGGTTCAACTATGAAAATGTCCCTTGCAAACAGCTCTCTTGAGATATAATTCACACGCCACATAGTTCATCCACTGAAAGGGAATGAGTGGTATTCAGCACACTCACAATGGTGTGCAGCCATCTCTGACTAATTCCTGTACATCCTCATCACTCCAAAAGGAAATCCTGTGCCATTACAGTCATTCCCCACCCACCCCCACCCCACCCCTGGCATGCACAAATCCACTCTCTGTCTTCATGATTTTGTCTGTCTGTCCCGGACGTTTCATATAAATAGGATCAGACACTATGTGGCCTTTTGTGTCTGGCTGCCTACATTCAGCATCAGGCTTCTGAAGTTCATTCATGTTGCAGCAGGTATCAGACCTTCATTCCTTTTTCATGCCTGAATAATATTCCATTGGGTGGACGGACCCCATTGTGTCTATGTATTCATCCCTTGATGGACATTTGGGTTGGGTCTACCTTTGGCCATTGTCTGTATTGCTGCAGTGAACCTTGGCTGTACAAGTATTTGTGTGGATTCATGTTTTCATTTCTCTGGGGCATATGTCTATGAGTTACATTGCTGGGTCATGTGGTAATTCTGTGTTTAACTTTTTCAGGAACTTCCACACTCTTTTCCAAACTCTTCTCTATTTTACAATCCCACCAGCAGCAAAAGAGGGTTCCAATTTCTTCACATCCTTGCCCATCCTTTGGATTCTTCCTCTTTTGAATACAGCCACCCCAGTGGATGGGAAGAGACCTAGGGAACACCTCACTATGATTTTGATATGTGTTTTCCTGATGGCGCATGATGTTGAGCATCTTTTTATGAGCTTATTGGCCATTTGTGTATCTTCTTTGGAGAAACATCTATTCAAGTCCTTAGTCCATTATTTAACTGGTTTTTCTCTTTATTATTGAATTATAAGAGTATAGTATATATCTATGGAGCTCTAGTGGCTTAGTGGCTAAGGCATTTGACTACTGACTGGAAGGTTGGTGGTTTAAACCCACTAACCACTCCAAGGAAGGAAGATAGAGCAATCTACTTCCAAAAGATTTACCACTCAGAAACCCAAAAGGGGTTGCTATTTGAGCCCGTCATTGTAGCTGTTGTGTCAGTCCATCTCATTGAGGGTCTTCCCCTACTTCGCTGACCCTCCACTTTACCAAGCATGATATCCTTCTCCAGGGAATGGTCCCTTCTGACAACACGACCAAAGTAGATGAGACCAAGTCTGGCCACTCTCGCTTCCAAGGGGCATTCCAGCTGCACTTCTTCCAGAACACATTTGTTCATTCTTCTGGCAGTCCATGGTATTTTCAGTATTCTCCTCAAACACCACAACTCAAAAGCATCAACCTTTCTTTGGTCTTCCTTATTCACTGTCCAGCTTTCACATGAATATGAGGTGGTTGCAAATACCATGGCTTGGGTTGTTGTTGTTAGGTGCCATCGAGTCATCTCTGACTCATAGCGACCTTCTGTACAACAGAACAAAATACTGCCCGGTTCTGTGCCAGCCTCATGATCCTTGCTATACCTGAGCCCATTGCTGCAGCCACTGTGTCTATCTATGGCTTGGGTTAGGTTGCACCTTAGTCTTCAAAGTGACATCTTTAAAGAGGTCCCTTGCAGCCGATTTGCCCAGTGCAATACTGTATCTGATTCTATTGTGGAAATTACTCCGTTATCAAATGTATGATTTGCAAATATTCTCTCCCATTCTGTGGGCTATCTATTCATGTTCTTGATGGTGTCCTTTGATGCAATTCTTTAATTTTGATGGCGTCCCATTTATTGAACTGTTTCTTTTGTTGACTATGTCGTTGGTGTCATATCTCTGAAACCATTGCCAAGTCCAAGACCATGATGCTATACCGCTATATTTTCTTCTAAGAGTTTTTATGTTGTTAATTCTTACACTTAGGTCTTTGATCCATTTTGAGTTAATCTTTCTATGTGGTGTGAGGTAACGGCCCTATAGAGATCCAGTTGTACCGGCATGATTTGTTGAAAAGACAGTTCTTCTTCCCATTAAACTGTTTTGGCATCTTTGTCGAAAATCAGTCGACCTCAAATGTGTACACATGTTTTTAAGGTTCATCCATGTTGTAGTGTGTATTGATCCTTCATTCCTATTTATTGCTGAAAAGTATTCATTGTAACAACTTTTGAAGACTGTCTTAGTTTCCCAGGGCTGCCATAACAAAATACCATGAGTGAGTTACTTTAGGGGTCCCTGGTTAGCACAAACAGTTAATACATTTGGCTGCTAACCTAAAGGTTGGAGGTTTGAGTCCATCCAAAGGCACCTGAGAAGAAAGGCCTGGTGATCCACTTCTGAACAATCAGCTGTTGAAAACCTCCCGGAGCCCAGTTCTACTGTGATCCATGTGGGGTCATAATGAGTCAGAATCAACTCAGTGGCAACTGTGGTTTAGTTTTTTTGGGGAAGATGACTTTAAAGAACAGAAGTTTATTGTCTCACAGTTCTAGGGGTTAGGAGTCTGAATTTAAAGCATTGGCTTGCACCCCCTCCAAAGTCTCTAGGGGAGAATCCTTCCTTATCTCTTTCAGCTTCTCGCATCCCAGGCATTTCCTGGCATCTGGTGGCTTTTAGGTGCATCATTACATGATGTTTGTCTTCCCACCCTTGTGTGATTCTCTCTATATCTGTCCTTTTCTTTTATTAGACCCCACTCAGAAGGGATTAAATTAGGACCACCCACAGGCTGAACTATTAGGTATGTCTATGCAGCAGGGAGTATACCCAAGACCATGTACAGGGTTGGCAGACAATGGTTCTACAAGTGTATTTGTATGTTCTGTAAAAATTCCCAGGTGTATAGTAGAGCTGACAAGGGACAACGTTGTTACTTCTTGGTCACAGCCAGCTACCCAGAGGGAGCAAGCAAGTAGTTGAACCTGTGGGCTTGGGACCATAGTCTCAGGGGACATCAAGCTCAGTTGGCATAACATACTATACAAAACATTGTTCCACCTCCTATTTGGTGAGTAGTAATTGGGATCTTAAAAGCTTGCAAGCTGCCATCTAGATGCAATGATGGGCCTCTCCTCATCCAGAGCAAAGAAGAATGAAGAAAACCAAGGATTCATGGAAATAATTCGTCTAAGTGACTGGGTACACTACGCGATCCACACCTATATGACCATGAGACCAGAAGAACTAGATGGTGTCTGGCTACCACTGTCAACCACTCGGAGGGGGATCTATATAGGAGATCCAGGATAGAGAGGGAGAACAATGTGGAACAAAACTCAAAATCATTTGGAGAAAAAAAAAGGGGGGGGGGGGACCAGGTTTGCTGGTCTGATAGAGCCTGATGGAACCACTGAGACTATGGCCTCTAGCTGCCTGTCAGGTCTGGAACTGAACCCACACCTGTGGTTTCCAGTCAAGCAAAAGACAGGCATAGGAGTTGAACATTTACCTGAGGTAGATACACTCCTTGGAGAGAACAATCATGGGAGAAAGAAGGGCTGCTTATGCACAGGGAGACAGTTCAGGGGGCAGGAGTGCATGGAGGGATGGACACAGGGAAGAGGTAACTATCGGGAGGGGAGCTGTTGCATTGTGGTAAATTGTAGTCAATGTCATGAGACAAAATGTATGTGAACTGCTATATGGAAAGTGAATTTGCTCTGTAAACTTCCACCCAAATAACAATTTAAAAAAAAAAAAAAGATTAGGACCCCCCTACTCTGGTATGAGTCGGGGCCGACTCGACGGCAAACAACAACAACAACAACAAACTCTGGTATGAATCCCCAGTTAAGCACGGGACTACTAACCAAAAGATTGACTGTTCAAACCCACCCAGAGCCACTTCAAAAGTAGAGGAAGTAAAGTCTAATGATTGGCTTTCAAGGTCACAGCCTTGAAAACTCTATGGAGCAATGTTACACTGTACACACATGGTTGCCAAGAGTCAGAACCAACTCAACAGGAATTAATAACAACTACTACTCTGATATGACAATTAATTTAACTAATAGAGTCTGCAAAGAAAACTCTTTTTCCAAACAAAGTCACATTTCCCAGTACAGGGGATAGGACTTTAACATACCTTTTTGGGGGACACCATTCAACCCATAACAAAGACTAGACTTATACTTCTTGTGAACCCAGCCAACCAGGCCACATGAGTGCTTATCCTGGGACCCCAACCTTGAGACTTTGGGAAGGGGGGCCCTGCAATGGTTCATCACTGACCTCCATCTTGTGTCCCCCGTTTTCATAGGCCATCTACCTGAACAACCAACGATACATGGCCGCCATTATCTTGAGTGAGAAGGAATGCCAGGAGAATTTCAAGGAGAGCAACAAGAGCTGCAATGGTGAGTAGGACGGGTGGTGGGGAGCTGGTGTGGTGGACCCCAAACGCCAGGCCTTCCCAAGTCTGAATCTCCTGTGTTCTTAGCTTTGCTCCACGTTCTGGGCCTAAAGGCCAAGACACTGGAGGTGGAAGTGGCAAAGGAGAAGGCTGTGTGCGCCAAAGACAAGGAGACCCTGGCGTTGGGCAAACGGGTGGTGGAGGAGCAACTGGCCGAGTGTGGGAAGACTCGAGTGCAGCTGCAGCAAGAACAGCGCATTGCCGAGGAGCGGCTGCGGAAGGTGGAGAGCCTCTGCCTCCTGTTTGACAAGGAGAAGTTTGAGACACAGTTGCACAATGTCTGGAGGGATTCCATCATCCCGCGCACCCTGGACAGCCTAAGTTACACACCCTATCATCCCCTCAGTTCGGAGGTAGCTTCCATCCGCAGAGCCTGTGACCACATGCCCGCCCTTATGAGCACCAAGGTAGCAGAACTGGCCCGAAGCCTGCGAGTGGACATCGAACGTGTAGCCCGTGAGAACTCGGACCTCCAGCGCCAGAAGCTGGAGGCCGAGCGTAGCCTGCAGGCCAGTCAGGAGGCCAAAGAGAAAGTAGAGAAGGAGGCTCAGGCCCGAGAGGCCAAGATCCAAGCCGACTGTGCCCGGCAGAACCAGCTATCTCTGGAGGAGAAGGCAGCACTGCGAAAAGAACGAGACAACCTGGCCAAGGAGCTAGAGGACAGGAAGAAGGAGGTGGACCAGCTCAAGATGCAACTGGCTGTCAGCAACTCAGCCCTGGACACCTGCATCAAGGCCAAGGTGGGCTAGTGGTCTCGGAATCAGGTTATGTTGGGGTTGAGTCTAGAGGCCAATGTGGTAGTGATGTTGAACTTGAGTTTAGAGTTGGGTCGAAGTGGACTTCCATGTCTATGTTGGGTCAGTTAGGTCTTACTTGAGGGTTTCACTGGCATTAAGATTGAGGTGAAGTTTGGAATGGAAATTTGCACTGAAAATGGGGTTGTGTAGGATTAAGATTAGAGTCAAGGGTAGGGTGACTGCTGGGTCTAGAGTTGGGTGAAGGGGTGAATGTAAGATTTTGGTTGCTTTAGGATTGGATTGAGTTTAGGTATTGAGGGTGGATTTAGAATTGAGTCTAGGGTGGCTGATGAGTCTAGAGTTGGCTTTAGGGTTATGATCACGTGTTAATTTCGGCTTTTGCTGGCATTAGGATTGGGGTGGAGTTTGGAATTAGAAAACTAATTGACTAAAAGGAAAAAGGGAAGAGTTGAGGCTGAGGCTGAGTTTCAGGTGACTAGTATTCCTCAAATTGCTTTAGGGTTAGAGGTTAACCCCAACCCAACCTCCATCTTAGACCCATCCTCAGTCCCAACCCAGGCCCCAGATCCACCCCAAACTTCAACACAATGCTCCAGGGAGCCCTGACTTTAATCCCAAAGCAGCCCTAGACCCATAAGTCAACTCAAACCACCTCAACCCCAATATGTGAACTGCTGTATGGAAGATGAAAGTTGGGGTCCCATCTAGGGTCGGGGTTAGGATTGGAGTTGGAATCAGAATTAAGATATACTTGTGTTGAAAGTTTGAGGGATGTTGGATCAGTGGTGTCAGTAGGGTTGGTGTCACCCAGTGCAGTAATTTGTGGTGTCACCCACCCACCCCTACTCCCCCCATGGAGAATTTCATTTATCTTAGAATTTGATTTGAGTTGGAATTTGGATAGTGAGAAAAGGCTAACCATTGACTCTGGGTAACTGCTTGGAGAGATCAATCATGGGAGAATAGAAGGGCTAGGTATGCACAGGGAGTCAGGTCAAGGTGCAGGAGCACATGAAGGGAAGGACACAGGGAAGAGGTGGCTATGGGGAGGAAGTGGGAAGAGAGCTGCTGCATTGTGGGAGATTACAGTCAATGTCATGAGATAAAGTGTATGTGAACTACTGTATGGAAGATGAATTTGCTCTGTAAACTTTCACCCAAATCGCAATAAAATTAAAAAAAAAAAAGAGTTGAGGTTGTGTTGGGTTTGGGGGTCTAGTGAGTCTAGAGTTGGAGTTGGGCTGGAATTGGAACGTATTTGAGTTGAAGGATTGGGGGACATTAGGTTAGGGTTGAGGAGGGCACTAGGATTGGGGAGGGTCAGGGCTGGCCCTAGAGTAGAAGCCTGTGTGGATGGAGCTGGGGTTGAGGTGGTTTGAGTTGACTTATGGGTCTAGGGCTGCTTTGGGGTTAAAGTCAGGGAGCATTGTGCTGAAGATTGGGGTGGATTTGGGGCCTGGGTTGGGACTGAGGATGGGTCTAAGGTGGAGGCTGGGTTGGGGTTAGGTTTCAGGTAGAGGTTGGGTATGAAGTGAAAGTTGGGGTTGAGTTGGGTATTGGGAAACTGTCTACAGGGGGGTCTGCTGCAGCTCAGGACTAGGACTGGGGGATGAATTTGGGGGTTAGACTTTTCTTATTAGGTGAGTCTAGGGGATGTCATTGGAGTTGGAGTTAGATCTAAAGATATGGCCAGGCCAGGTTTGGGATTGGGATTGGGTTTAGCTTGGGACTTGATTCTAAGGAAGTTTTAGTTTTTAAGTTGGCATCAGACTTTAGGGTTATGAGTGGATTCAGACTTGGCTTGGATTTTAGTTTAGAGGGATTTGGCCTTGGGTTTTAGGGGGATGGCATTGAAGATCAAGGTGAAGTTGACTTCAGAGTAGGTTGGCTTCAGTCTGGGAGGACTATGTTGGGTGGGCTGACACCATTGGGGTTGTGAATTGGGGTTGGGTTAGAGCTGAGGTTGGGATGGAGACTGTGGCAGGGTCTGCCCTGCAGAGTGGGTCTCTGAGGGCCGCCAAGGGGAGCCCATAATTTGAAGGCTCAGGGTGGGTGAGGGACTGTCTCCCTGCCCTGGTAGGACTCAGACCCAGGCATGGAGGGGCACGGGTCTCCCAGTTTTTGAGCTCAGGGACTCCTGATTCTGACAACTTCCCTTTGCTCTTCCCACAGTCGCAGCTGGTGCCCTTGCCAAGACCCGTGGGTTCTCCCCCCAACCCCCCACCCATCGGTGAGTGACAGAGGGTGGAATCAGAGGGTGGGGATCTTTTCTACCCTGCACCCCACTCCAGCCTCACTATCTGAGGCTACCAGCCCATCCCCCAGCTTGGGCAGGGGCTGCTGAGGCAGCAGGTCAAGCCTGACCTTCTTCTTTCTCTACAGACCTAGCTAGCCTGGAGGAATTCAAGAAGAAGATCCTGGAGTCCCAGCGATCGCTGCCAGGCAGTGTGGCATTCCCATCCAGGTGAGGCACTGGGCAGCCTCAGAGCTGGAGGTGAGGCTGGAACCAGGGCTAGAGATGGAGGGAGACTCAGCTAACCTTTGCTTCTTCCCTAATTGAGTGCCTGCTATATACCAGGCCCTGTGCTGGGTCCAGGGACACAGAAGCAACCAAGACACATTAGCCTCCATCCTCACAAAACTCTCAGACTAGTGGGTGAGAGAGCCCTGAATGACCCATGTTAACATGACTTGCCAAGAGCCCATAATTATTAGCTGCTTACTGTGAGCTCAGCATAGTTCTTCGCACTTTGCATGATTAACTCATTTAATTCTCACACCCCTAATAGTCACTTCACTTTTCAGGTGGGGAAACTGAGGCACAGAGAAAGTGTGCATCGTGCCTGTAGTGAGTTCAAGGGAGTTTAGGGGCTGATGGAGGAAAAAGATGTGACCACACAATAAGCTATTTATTGGGACCAACACACTGACAGTCCCATGCAGGGGAAAGTCCCCTGCAGCAGAAAGTCTGCCAGAGGCAGGTGGTGCAGGAAGCCACCCAAAGGGGAAGAGAGCAAGGAAACCCTGAGGGAAGAGAAGGGAGGGGGGCTTATGTGCACCTAAGCCCTGTCCTTCTGTAGCAAGGCTGGGAGCCTCTGGGTCAAAGGGCTCCAAAGACAGCAGCACGTTGTGACTGCTGTTCTTAGCGGCCATCAAGCCGGCCCCAGTTCATGGCAACCTCTTGCACAATGCAGCAAAACCCGTCCTACACCCTCCCGGAGATCAGTTACAGACTGGACTGGTGTGATCCGTGGGGTGTGATCCATAGGGGTGTGAGGATTAAATGACTTAATCATGCAAAGTGCAAGGAACTATGCTGAGCTCACAGTAAGCAGCTAATAATTGTGGGCTCTTGGCCAGTCTTGTTAACATGGCTCCTTCAGGGCTCTCTTGCCCGCTAGTCTGGGAGTTTCATGAGGAGGGAGCTTAATGTGTCTTGGTTGATGTTCAGAAGTAGATCACTAGGCCTTTCATCCCAGAAACACGCAAGCCCCCATAGACAGACAGGTGGTGGCTGGACATGCAGCCCACTGGCCAAGAATCAAGCCCAGGTCTCCTGCATGGATGAACAGAGGCCCAAATAACACAGGCAAGAGCCCAGGCGATCGAACAACAGACAGGCAAGAGAGGGCCTGGAGCTGGAGGATATGGCTGAGCTGGCCCAGCAGAGCAGAGGGAACAGTTTTCCGGGCAGCAGAATAGCACATGCAAAGGCCCTGAGGTGGCGCTGGAGTCGGGAGGGTTTGAAGACCAACCTCAAGGGGCTATGGCTCGAGCAGAGGGAGCAATGTCCGAGAGCGACCCCAGGCCTCTCACCTAGTCCTCTATCCCTCGAGTGCCTTTTCTACAAAAATGAGGGGTCTGAGGTCAAGGGTATGGAAATGCTTTGCCAACTGTAATAAGCAAGGCTGGGGGCCTCAGTGGGACCCGTCAAGGGCAGCTAGCACATGCTCAGGCCATGGCCCGACCCTGTGCCCCCCACCTCAACCTGGAGCTGGTCGTGCACCAGGGACACCCTGTGCGTCACGGGGAAGGTGACTCAGCCTGATGTCCACAGAACACTCTGTGCTCCTGTGGGGTGGTGGCTACTCCTATTCAGGAATGTGGGACACGGCTGCTGACTGGGAGTGGGGGTGGGGGTGGGGGTGGGGGAGCAGCCATTCCCATTTTACATTAGGTTAGTGCTGGGATTTGAAGTCAGATCCCTGAGATACCAAAACCCGTGCCTAACCATTTCTCCTCCAGACTGTCGTCAGCCTGGCTCTACCGCAGCCACAGGGAGCTAAATGCAAGCACTTGGGCCAAGCTAACTTCCAAAGGCTTTGCTGTCAGCTCCCCAGGGGCTCCACGTCCAGCTCTACCATGCTTCTTCTTACATACCCCCCGAGATGGGGAGCTCACTGACTTAACAGAACTTTCCTCCAACTGTTGGAGCGGGGTGGGTTCTATGTTCAACTCCACCACAATCCCTCTTACGCCCTGCAATGGGAGCTCACCTCCTTACAGAACTGTCTTCCAGCTCTGAATAGCTCTGCTCAAAGCAAGCCCACAGGGAGGGAAGCGAGAGGCTCCAGAAAAGACCCTGCTCCAAACACGGCTTTTCTCTCTCTGTCTTGGCCCAGTGCCCTCATAGCGAGGAAGGAGGTTCTATTATTATCCCATTTCTCAGAGGAGGAAACTGAGGCCCCAGGGAAGTGACTAGGCTGGGGTCACGTGGTGGCGGCAGGGAGTGGCATCAGGCTCCCAGCCCAGGCCTGTCCGGGCCCCAGCTGAGAACCGGGGAATCGCTTGACATTGTTTACCCCCAAATGACGTCCCCCTGCCGAGAAAACAATGCCCACTCAGGCCTGGGCCCCGGCCTGGCTTTTTCTGCAGGGTTGCAGGAAGGACTTCTGGTTCCCTAAGTTCTTGCTGCGTGTGACCTGACCTGCCCCGCCCACTACCCAGGGAGCGGAGGTGCGCAGGCATCAGCTCTGGGTTGAAATTCCAGCTCTGCCAGCCACTTACTGGGCTACCTAGGCTGAGCCACTGTCCTTAGAATCACAAAAGTCCAGTTTTAGATGCAGCTGAACCAGGGCTGGTCTGAGGCCCAGTGTTGCTCACCCTGCCCAGGCATGGGGAGGCGGGGAGCTCATTGCTTTTCCATTCTTTGAGCTTCAAGAAAATCCCCACCGGTGCTTGTGGCCCTTCACTCTTCCCAGACTTTTGCAAATCTCCTTTGTTTGCAAAGCAAGACAAACCTGGGCTCAGCCCCTAGCCAGACTCAGGCCGGGACAAAGTCTTGCTATTTATTGAATATTTTTAAGTCATTTGCTCTTGATGGCAGGAGGTGTCATTGTTCCTGGACTTGGTGAGGCTGGGTGACCTTTGGAAAGAAATTTATTTAAATTAGAAAAGACCACTGATATAAAGGCAGATATTAAGTACAGGCAGTTCCCGGGTTATGAACATCTGATTTATGTACAATCCATAGTTATGAACCAACCCCTGTAAAGCCTATTATTTTAAAAATCTGAGTACATGAAATGGTTTGTCATAACAAACATATGCATGTGAGAGATGGACAGTGAATACAGAAGACCACAGAAGAATTGATACTTTTGCATTGTGGTGTTGGCCAGGAATATTTATGATACCATGGAAGGAACAAATCTGTCTTGGAGGAAGTACACCCAACACGTTCTTTAGAAGCGAGAATGGCCAGACTTTGTCAGTCGTATTTTGGTCATGTTGTCGGAAGGGACTACTCCCTGGAGGAGGTTATCATGTTGGTAAAGTGGAGGGTGAGCTAAAAAGGGGAAGGCCCTCAATGAGATGGACTGACACAGTGGCTACAATGATGGGCTCAAGCAGACCAAGGACGGGGAGGCTGGCAAGGACGGGGCAGTGTTTCGTTCTGCGGAACATAGGGTTGCTATGAGTCGGAACTGACTCAAGAGCACCTAACAACGACAACAAATAACAAACAGGAGCCACTTGGTACACACATCAAAACATGATTGTTATTACTGTATATGTTAAAGATGGTCTAGTGTTTCTTTAATATTTGTTATGCATAGAAAGGTACACTGTATACTATATACTGAGACAAACATTTGACTGACGTTAGATATGGATTGTACCTAGCTGTTCCAATTTACGTACAAATTCATATAAAGACAGACTTGAGAATGGAACTCGTTCGTAATCCAGGGACTGACTGTAAATATTGGTGCAGGGCTATGTGGCTGGAGGTCGCAGAAATTACCAGGGGTGTCCTGAGAGGTTAAAGATTGAGTGCAGCCCTCATAGGCTTTGAGCTGGATTCAAGTTCATGACTATTATGATTCTTTGGTTCATGAGTGGAGTTCATCGTTCCACCTCTATTTATTAAGCAGTTCCTGGTCTCCAGGGGGTCAAATGATAAATGCTCTAAGTTGCTAACCAAAAGGTTAGCGGTTGGAGTCCACACCCAGAGGTACCTTGGAAGAAAGGCCTGGCATACTATGTCTGAAAAAATCAGCCACTGAAAACCCCAGGGAGCTCGGTTTTACTCTGACAGACATGGAATCACCATGAGTTGGAGTTGACTTGACACTTGGGACTGTGGCCTGGGCATAGTGCTGGTGCTGGGGACACAAGGTAGAAGAAGCCACAGACACAACCCCTGCCCCCTAAGTCTTACACAGTATAGAGAGCAAGACGGATGGTCAACCAGATGAGGGAGCCATTATTGGTGTCCCTGGGTGGCACAAAACTCGTTGCGTTAACAACTAACCAAAAGGTTGGTGGTTCAAATCCACCCAGGAGCACTACAATCTGTTTCCATAGGATCTCAACCAACCCTATTCTACTCTGAAGCTCATGGGGTTGCCATGAGTTGGAATAGTCTTGATGCCAATGGGTTTGGTTTGGAGGTTTTTTTTTTTTTTTTTTTGTGATGAATGAAATGGGGAAAAGATGAGGGGGTGTGAGGAGGCTGGAGTGTTGGATGGGGGCCTGAGAGGGCTTCACGAGGAGGTGACATCTGAACAGAGAGCTGAAGGCGGTGAGGAAGGAGCTGGGGGGCACTGGGAAGGGGCACCAGATGGACAGCACAGCCTGTTCAAAAGTCCCGAGTAGGATCACGCCTGGTGAGTCTGAGTGAGGCGGCTGGCGTGGCCAGAACAGAGTAATTAATGGGGTGAGAGTGAGGGGGTGAGGGTGAGGAGGTGATGGAGCAGGGCAGGCAGGGCCTGGTGGCTGCGGAGAGAACTTTGGGAGCCCAGGGAGGTCTCTGGACAGAGAAGGAACAGACGGGTGGGGCGGGGCAGGGGAGAGGGGCATCCAGGGGGTTGTAGCCCGGGGACCAGGGCAGAGGTACCTGAGCTGGTGATGAGGGGGGCTTCAAAGCCCCATTCTCCTTGTCTGAAACTCAGGGACCACTCTCTCTTACAGGCAGAATGGCTGGAGTAGGTCCCTGGCTCCAAACAGGGAGAATCTTGGTTGA